ACTGAAAAATAATTGTCTGTATAATCATCTGTATATCTAAAGAAATTATTTCTTAAAAATTTTAGCTAGTGAGTATCTTAAAAAAAAGATTTATCTGAAAAAGAATTTTTAAACGGGTTCCAAATTTCTGTGACAATTTTGAAAGTTATCTTAATGTTACACCATGTTAATTAGTCAATTTGAGTAAAAATAGGCATTCCAAAAAAATTTGATACGAATTTTCAACTGATGTATAACCTTTAGTTTTGTTTTTCATTTCAGCAAAATCACCTATTATTATATTTAAAGTTTATATTTTTTAGCGACATTAAAACAAAACATGAAAACACAATATGAATCAGTTTCCTTATGAAATTGATTGATTTTGATTTGGTATCTCTAAAATATATCTAATTATTTTTGTAATGGTTAAACTGATAAGTAAAGATACATATATGATATATAGTATTTTTCATTGTGTACTACGCAGTAAGTTGCCTTACTTTCAACTGGCGGCGAAGGCTTTTGCCTAATTGATTTACAACACTTTCCAACCTTACTCAATGCTCGAGTGACAAATGCAGGGCTCTGGAACTGGCTACTCGTATTATTACTATTACTATTATCTTTATCTCCAGACTTGCGGGAGATATTCTTAGAGGCTAACAGCACAATGGAGGCGGAATGGGTTGGAAAATGGGGTTGCCAAGGGGTTGGGGATGGTGTTGGAAATGCGAATGGGGATGGTGGATGGGGTCTTGCTCGGGGACTTGCTCAATGCTCGATTGCGCGACAATCGCAATGGGACCATATATATATGTTTCGCAGCTTATCATTCCCTGCATATATGTATTATTGAGTGTGTGTGTGCTGACTCCCTGGGGTCGCATTGGAGCGTGAGCATTTTGCAAAAATAATTTATGGCAAACTGTTGATTGCTGACATGGGGCCCCCAGAGCAGCAGCAACAAAAAACGAAAGAAAAAAAAAACGAAAAAACTAAAACAAGACAATAACAGAATTATTAACAGATGTAGTAAAGCAAGAAGATAGGAATACATACACTTTACAACGTACGAAAAACATTGACACCCCAGCAACATATCAGCAATCTTTAAAGAAAAAAGAAATAACAAGCCCAGTAAGCTAAGTGGTAACTTTAAAACTTTACAGACCCAAAAGCAACGGTGGCAAAGTAAAATCCGTCCGAACAAAGTAACAACAGCAACAAAGAAAAACAAAACCGGCAATACTTGTAAATAACAGTATGGTCAACAGAACAACAACAAAAGTTGCCACAACAACAGCAGCAACATTGACTGCAAAGTCGTAGTCCTCTTTTGGCACTAGTTGACGCACTGGAAAATATTTATCTTCTTTAGTTTAAAATATTAAAATATCAAATAAATATATCACTATCTTCTTTAGTAAAAAAACCAAATGAAGATTTTTCTAAACTACAAAGAAAGAGAAAAAAGTAAATTTTTTATAAAATATAAAAATATGGATTATCTAACTGATATTATTTGACATTATATATTATGTTTTGATAAAAAAATCGATTATATTATATGTTAGGATATTATTTTTTAAAAGTTTCAGGGTTTTTGTTATGTCTTCTTTTATAAAGAGAAATAAACTGATAGTGCATTGACTTACCAACAATATAAAGTTTGAAATATTTTTTAGGTCCTAGGGTTTTTATAAATTACAAATAATAATAAAAATACAACTATTACTGATACTTACTTTCTGACCCTTTCAATAGGTATCCTAACTACACCTTAAACTGTGTTTAACCTGAGTTGTAGAAATTTAGAATTAAAGTCGAATAAGACAATATTAATTATAAATTTTCTACTCCTTAAGAATATTTGTTTTAAAAAAAGTTAATTCTCCATTTTTTCTAATACCTAACGAAATTGTAACTCCGTTAGTTCCAGAATTCTAAAATTCATTTCCAATCATTTCCAATAAAGGTTTAGTTAAATATGGTGCTTTATTAACTTTTGTTTTTCAGATACCAAGTTACTTGCTTGCTGATTTTTCTAGTGTAACAATCAGTCCCATTTATTGCTTAGTACGCGACTAGAATTTATCATTAGTTTACTCGATGTATATGTACGCGAATTATGTTTGTATTTGAGAATATATACTATATAGATTAACAATTGTAATCGCTGTTGTTGTAGCTGCTGTTGATTTTGCCAAGCGAAACGAATCGCAACGAGCAAAACAAAAAGCTGTAGCAGAAACGACAACCGACAACTCGGGTGTTGATGTGTTTTCGAAAACATTGCGTCATTTCCAGATGGCAAGCTTCAGGCCAATTCGCCCCCCGCACACATATGTAACCCCCCAGCACTACGCCCCTGTGCAGTAAAAAAAACGGAGACCAAGTGGCAGACGATCGAGTCGGATTCGTAGAAAAACTGGGCGAATTCTACGAACTGAACTTGGGGATGTCGACGCCTCTATCGGAAGGCAATTGGCAGTGTGGATACTGGCACGTATATAGTCGTATGTTTGTAGATGTATATGGGGGAGGGGGTATGTGCCTGAACATGATTGATATTTGCCTGCAATGATTACTTGTAGTCGCAGCTCGTCAAAAGTTGTGATAAAACGACAAACAGAACTTGAGATATTTATCATGTCGTGAAGGAAATTACACGAAAGTTAAGGGCTGCCATTTATTGGGAATATCATTGGTAGGCAGACTTTTTAAGTCATAATATAATAACAATCATAATGAATAAATGGAAAATTGCTAATAATAAAATAGAATTTAATATAAATAAATTAAAAAAAGCTTATAATAATTTTAAATTAATAATTTAAAGTAATAAAGTAATAACATGTATTTTAATATTCAAACAGCACTTATAAGTATGTTATAATAAATACAAGTAATATGACAATATTACAAAGATAAAACTTAAATTGTCAACTCACTTTAAACACTTGTTTATTAAAACACCCTTTTTAAAAAACATTTAATTTTTTTACATAAATATGGTAGGTGTCACCCAAACTAAAGGACAAAAAGTGATTAACTTTTATTGGTTCTTCATCTTTTATATGATCTGCAACATTATAAATATTACCTCAAGATATTTTACATCGAGGGAGGCTTCAAAAGTTTGTTAACTAACTATTTTGTTATTAATGCCTGAATTAACAACTTGAAAAAATGTTTTTATGATCAAATATATAACAATAAAATGAAACAATATATGTACCTTACTTTATCTTTACCTCCCTTTTAAAGCATTTATTATAGTTATCCCAAAAATGGAAACTGTCGCCTCCTAATCTTCAAGAGTTCACGTAGTAGAAGTAGTATGCCCTGCAATATCTATGCCACATCCGCAAGAGGAACCTTTGGAATGAGCTATAATTGGATGAGCTGTGGATGAACGTAATCTGCATTTCCAGACAGTTGGGCGACTTCTTAGAGCTGCAGCAATGTACAATGTATTCTTTCGCCAGTAGAGATTACTTACCACTGAATGCAATTGCTTCGGGGAGGGCAAGTAAAAGATGATTAGCAACGACCTTAAATAACCTACTGGTTCCATGGACGCCCTGGAATTGTATCGTCTCGAAACTATTTACTCTCGAAACTGATTCGAGTGCAAATATTTACCTTGTGTTCGAGCTTTTCTTTGATCAGCTAAAAGCAGTAGGTGGTTGCTTTTCTTTTAAGAGCGGAAACCTACGTCAATGCGGGATCAATGGGATTAAGCACTGCCATTATATTGCTCCATTTATCACTTTTAACACTATATAGTGCAAACAGACTGTTTGAGTTATAAAGGAACTAATTTATCACTTATCGCTGATCAATGGGAAAATGAATACAACACAAATGCAAACGGAAACGTGGAGCTTTTCACAAATATCACAAGGCATATTTGTTCATCACAAATAAATATTATTAAAAGTACAGATAATATATAATAATACTAACACGTTTCGTCATTTAATATTGTATTCAGTCATTTACTATTTATATATCTATTTGCTTAATAGATGTGCAAAATATATTATTCAATTTGCGTCATTTATTGCGTTTATAACTACAATCCAACCTAAGAAATCCATTAAAAATTATTTGAACTTGATAAACTTTTGACCTAATTGAAAGATGGGAAGTGTTTTTCATCCAAAATGATCAAAAGTAAAAATATTTTCTAAGAACCATTCGGATATTATCATATCTTCAAGGCTATAAAAATCATGAGTAAACAAAATGCCCTAAAAGAGTGAAATTTTCTTACAGCAATCCATAAAAGCTAAATTAGTTATTATCATTTTTGTATATTTTTGAATTGTTTATTTAGCAATTAATGTTTGCTTTGTTGCCCCTCCTTTGGATTGCCTAGTTCTTTGATACAGTTGAGAGCGTTTGTGATTTATGGACGAGACCCTCGACGAGCTTGTGAATGTAAATGTGAGTACGAGTATGAATATGAATAAACGCATCGAGGGCGAACAACGAGCTTCATTGTTCTGGGCGGTAGTTGCTCAATGGCTGACAGTCGGAATAATTAGGCAATACAGGGCACACAATCGAACCCTTTTACATGGCTAAGGATTGGAGCTGTGATAATACGCAATAAGTTGGCCCATCAGAACTTCGATTTTATGGTTTTATTACCAAATAAACAGCTTGAATAACCCATAAAGTAGAGCAAACTAATACCAAACACCCATGTTAATATCCTGAAAAACCATAGAATAGATAATCAAAGAAAATCTGTAATTAAAAATCGATACCCATAAAAATCCCACACATTTCCCTACACAGGAATAAAACTCAGTCGTGTCATTTTCAAAATGAAATTCAACATTTCTGCATTTTTATTTGGAGCCCTTCGCTCGAATCAAATTAGTTATGCATAACAAAAATTAAGATTTGCACATTTCATGTTTCATTATTTTCTCTTCTCGTTTTTTTTAGACTATTTACAGAATTAAGTTTATACATATGGATTTGCATATGCGATAAAAAGTTAATTAAATTTACATGTTGTTACGGCTTCATTTATTTGCTTTACATGTAGATTTTTTGCAATCATTTCGCGTTTGTTTGCTGTTTCGCTTTTATGCATAAGATAACAAGGCTTAATTGACTAAAAAAATAAAGGCACCTGAGTTCAAAGTGTTATTGCCAAATGTAAATATAATAAAACGAAAATCAAAAATATAACGCCTGTGAAATTAAAAAAACGATAATCATAAAAAGTATATTTATAAACGTAGAATGTATATACACCAATATGTACGTGTGTATATGGGAGTGTGCATAAAAGTACACAGTTAACGTAAAGCATTTATAATTAATTCAATTTAATTAATGGTATGTTTGTTTCATCCCTACTTCAACTGCACTCCCCTGACTGACTGACTTCGGATATACTCACTGATATCGTTTATGTGTTAATAAATGTATATAGATAAAGTACTTATATGGTCTTTGTCCCTGAATGAAATGCTCATGTCCCCCGCTACCCCGTGTGCTAAACCCCCAGGTTTTTGTTTCTTTCTTTTTAGAATTGTTGGCTCTGGTTTTGACCCATTGTTGCTTTGCTGACTAGTGCGTTGGTTGTCTCTCCCCCCAGTTTAGTTTGTCTAGATATTTTGGTGGTCTCATCGACGATATATCCTATCCCTATTGCATATTGTACAGCTGCGGTGGCTCCTTGCTGGCCGGCATCCCCTGATCGTACTTCCCCAGCTCGGCCTCGTAGAGCAGATTGTTGATCAGGTGCTTCACCACGATCTTCGACTTGGATGTCTTCAGTTTGCGTATGGTTATGGCCACGTATTCCCCGAATACCCCATATTCGTCCACATGATTGGCACTCAGGCCACCGCCCCCGACGAGCGGTTTGGGGGGCGTGGTGTTGCTGTTGCTGCTGGAGCTGCAATTGCTGGATGTTGCTGCTGGATCCAGCGAGGTGTTGCTGGTGTGGCCGGCGATGTTGCTGTTGCTGCTGCCGCTGTTGTTGCAGTTGCTGTTGCCGTTGCCGTTGCCATTTGACGTTGAGAGATCACGATCACGATCACGTTTTTGTGCCATGTTACTGGAATGTTGTTGCTGTTGCTGCTGCTGCAGATGCAACGATTGCTGCTGCTGATGTTGCTGGTGGTGGTGGTGGTGGTGCGGCTGCTGCTGCTGCTGCGGTTGCCCGTTGCAGTGGCTCAGGCTCAGGCTGTGATTGTGGCTAAAATGCTGCTGGAGCGCCTGAAACGCGAGCTGGCTGTGGTTCATCTGCTGCTGCTGCTGCTGCTGGCCAGCGGATCCGCCCGTCCCCGCCGCTCCGCCCACCGCCTTGATGGGCGTCAATGTCAAAACGTGCTCCACGCCCATCGCCTTGCGCTTGCGGTGGTTGTACGTCAGGTCCGTCGGCTTGTAGTAATTTATGGGCGACGGCGTGCTCGTCCGTCGATCCAGCATCCCCAGCTCCGATTCGTGTTCGATCTGAAGGGGAAAAGCGAAAAAGTCGGGGGAAATATGGATGTGTTTTAGACAGCGTTGAAAAGTATCCACTACGCACTTGTTTCAAAGACAATAAATTAGTCTACACAAAAAACAAATAAGAAAAAGCTCCAAAAATTTCCAAGATAATCAAAAAATAGATGTAATATACATAGATGTGTTGCTATATCATACTATACTATACTAATTTTTAACTTAATTATACATAACACATAGTGTATCGAGAAAAGAACACCTAAATAAAGTCAAACCCAATCCAAAGTTTTTTATCTTCGGAGCTTTTTTTTTATTAATTTTTTTTTATTTATTTATTTATGGTTCAACAGTTATTTTCAGACATTTTTATTGAAAAGAAAACTTTAGTGATTTGAGTCATCTATATGTATTTCAACCCTTAGGTGCGCTTTTTCCATTTTGAAGGTTATACGCCCAATCTAAATCAAACGCAATTTCCCCATTGATTTAGACAAGTTTACGAAGGATGGGCCCTTCCCTTTAGCAAAGTAAATCTGTTTCGTATTTCATCAGCCCTATTAATTATTTTGATTAAAGATGGGCCCGTCAAAAAATACCGGAACCCGTTTTCCTATACCTATACATTTATAGTATCAACGTCTGACGAAATCATCGCTGAGTTGTTTCATCAACTATTTACTAGACGCGCATCTGTTTGTATACTAATAAAATAAACAATTCAATCCCTGGGTTTGCCAAGTTTCCGAAGGGAGGGAGGTCTGGGACATGTGGCTACTTTGATAAGCCCCCAGAATCGTGTCATTTAAATCGTTTGTTGGCACAACCTTGTCTGGGAAAGTATCGGAAGAGAGATCTTTCTCAGTCAGGCTATTTTGGGACCATTTAATATTATATTTATATAGAAATATGATTTATAACAAATATTTTTGGGCACCGCTTGGCATTCAGTTCATGAAGTTCAAATTTGTGTAATCAAATGGTCAAGTGACTCACATGCATTAAACTCAAAGGCTTATCTTGAGAGATATACGGATGTATCATATCTGCCTTGGCAACACCAATGACCTTCAGAAATTAAAAGGTTTCGGCGGTCAATGTGCAAGTTGTGCACGTCATAAATTGATAAGATTCGTCATCGAATTAAGTTAGTTACAGAATTTCAAACACTGCTGCCTTATCTAATAAGTATAATTATCGGCTAAAAATCTAATCGTTTTATTTGCTCTGCGCTCGTAATCAGCAAAATGAGAAAAGTTGTTGGATCTTGAATAAGTGACGAACTTATTATATCATTGGAGTTAAGTAAAGGGGTCTACACGTGAACCGGATTTCAAATCAGTCACTGATTTTTACTGTCATATTATAATTTATTCATAAAAAATATTTTCTGCGGATTCTGTAATAGCTTATTTTAAATTCTTAATTTAGAATACCTTTTAAATTGTTGTCTATAATTATAAACGATATAAACCGATTAATTGAATACTTAAAAATAAGATTAATTTCGGTACTCCAGATAATGATCGTTATTTCTCCTAATACAAAATACATTCATTATTCAAAAAAGATTTGGAACCCCAGGCCCGTGTCAAAAATGATTCTCTAATTACACCCACAGACCACTTGACAAAACACTTCAGGGGCTAAGATCAAAAAAGGTTAAATAATCCCCCAAAAAATAACCCCAACTTGTCGAATCAATTAAAGTGCGATTAACAATCAGCGGTAGGGTACTTACAATTTCTGTTTTCACATCTTCGGCGCTGATATTGCAGTAATTCTCGCCATCCAAATCGGAAGAGGAACGTGTCTGCGAAGATCGTACAAAAAAATTGAGAATTAGCGGGGACCGTAGAACAAACAACAAATACAAAATACACTTATACCAGTGTGGAGAATTCGCCAGACAGATAATAACAAAGAACAACAAAATAATAATAATAGTGGACAGACGCAAGGCAAATCGAGAAACGCGAGAGAAATAGAAAACAAATTAGAATACTAATAAAAAGCAAACACAAAAGTGGATGTATGTAGATGCAGACTCGCAAGTCGAGCCGCTGGCGATTAAATTAGTCACGGCGGGACGAGGTGTTTGGGGGGAGGGACTCAGGGGCTTAGGGGTTCAGGGGCGTGGGCGGTACGGACGGTACGGGCGGGATAGCAGCCAACTCAACACCGAAGTGGACCAACTGGTGGAAAGACCCGCAGACGGACGTGAGACATTTGACCAAAAAAATATAAGAGACACACGAAAAATATCACAAGAAATGGAGGAATTATCAAAGCATCGACTGGGAAATACCCTATACAATGTTTTTTATGTGTGAGTTTTGCAAAAATTTTAAATTCCTTAAATATGTAATTTTCTTATATTTCTTATATTTTCTATATTTTTAAAAAATATTCATTATTTTAACAACTTCGAAAAACCATTTAGGGACATTATTATTTAAAGATATGTATCAAAGGGCATGATGTTACAAAGTAATTATGAAAAATACAATAATATTATGATCCCAAGAAAAACGGTATCTCCCAAATTACAATTGTTACAGTTAAAGATTTACATTACCCAATAATTACTTAACTTTGGTTGATGGTCAAGGTATATGTACATACTTATGAGATTTCTTAAGATGCGATCTTCAAATTATAGGTTTTGGTATTGAAAAATATATGTTGTTTATTTTAAAATATTAAACAATGATAATATTGTATATACTATATTGCCTTTTAACTAGAGATTAATATATTTCCGGGACGCCGATCGAACTAGCTACTGGGCATAATTGCAGGCTTTTCTTCAAAGCTCCGGAGAAAGCTCGCCTTGCAGTTGAAGTTCCCCGATTACTGGTCGAGCTTCTGCTTCTGCCCAAAAGTCTCGTACTTTTTCGGGAGAGAATCGAATCAAATATAAAACCGAACGAGCGGACAAGGCGACATAGGAATAAAAAAACGCAGTCCAGCAACTTGCTATATTGCCAAGTATGTTCGGATGTGTGTTTGCTTGTATGTATATTGGAGCTACTGCTGCTCGGGGGCGGCGGAGCATCGATGCGGGGCGGAGGGCGTGGTCGGTGCAAAACGTGGGGCCGCCGATTTCTACGGCTGATGCAACACACATGTGTATGCATTATAGATATGTGAATGTAGGTATGGGGCTGTGTATAGCAGAAGCGGCAGCGCAAATCAAAGCCAGTTGACACACACACTGACACACTAACACCAATACTCGCTTATCAGGCGCAACGCAATAGCAGCTACCGCGCACAGTGGGCACTATCTATTTTATGCTAGTTTGTCTCTGTGTTATATTAAAAATTATATTAAAAAAAAAATAAATTGAAATTAATAACTTTAATGTGTTCCTTATTTTGACTCTAAACAAAGTTAGAACAATTAGAATTAGAACAGATATTTCCGATAAAATATATGAATTGAAAATTTATTTTAAATTTTTGTAGTGGCCCTCAAGGCGCATTATAATATCAATCATACGCCATTTAATATCAAGCATACGCCATGTGCACCAAGAAAAGAGGTTAAGGTCTTTTTGTTTTCAATAAGTGACCCTATTTATAGAAAGATTGAAAAAATTGAAAATTAAAAAATAAAACAACCGAAATATTTTAGCGAAGTACAAATATTTACATCTCCCTAGTGCAAAAAAAAATTACTCATACGACATGTTGTCCCTTTACTTTTAAACAATTACAACTTCAAAACATTAAGAAGAATTATTTTTGCATATATTTCTAAATGACCTATTTAAGCATAAACATATTTTTATAACAAGTTTTATTTTTAAAAATTTGTAAAATATTTTGTAAATAATTACAGTGTTTTAGTAAACTTAATATTCTGTGGTTTAGTGTAAAACCAAAACAATAAATAATACACTTTGTAATTGTTAAAGAATCAATTTTGATTTCAGCTATTTCAATTTTAAAAGTATAAAAGAAAATAATTGGATATATTCTGAAAGGCCCTATTTAGGCATAAACATCTTTTTTAAATAAATGAAATTTTTAGAAATTTGTAATATTTAAAAAAAAATTATTACATCGTTTTAATAATTTTTTTTAATCTGTGGCTTACTGTAAAACCAAAACAATACAAAATTCTTTTTGGAATTGCTTAAGTATCAATTTTGGTTTCAGTTAGCTGATAGCTTTTAGAACAGTGTTTGTTTTCAAGGCAGCTTTGTGCCTAAAAAAAAAGTGTGGAGCGACCACCTGATGGCTTCCCTTATCCCTATCTCTGGCCCCACTGTGCGCCACCGGTTGCGCCGCTGCTGCTGACGAACCGCTAGACAGCGACGCCTGCGACGGCGGGCGGAGACAGCAGCGCGTGTGCTGGCTGCTGCCGCAAAACAAGTCAAACCACTCGCACACACACACACACAGCTCCAAAGAAATACGAAAAAACAAAAAATAATAATAAATGAGGGGGCGGGGCGGGGGAAAAAGGCCGAGAGACACATGCAAAATAGGTGGAGGTTGGGTTGGCTGAAAAGAAAAAACACACTTAGCACTTACCACAGCCGCCGAGGAGGATTCGATGAGGGCAGCGCCGACCGCGCCCGCTGCCGCCGCCTCCTCTAGTTCCATTTCCCGAGCGGTATCCAAATCGTCAGCGGCATCCCGCTCGTCCCGCTCCCGTTCCCGCTCCCGATCCCGGGCATTTGCGGCGGCTGCAGCGGCGGCGACGGCGGCCACAGTGGCCGCAATGCGAGCGGTAAGCTCGTCGTGCTGCTGCTGCTGCTGCTCCACCTGCAGTATAATGTCCCTATCTACCAGCTTGTCCGCCTTCAGCTGCTCCAGGTCCAGACTGTGCATCAGGGTTAGCTTCTCGTCCGCTTCCGTTTCCGCCTCACCATCTGGATCTTGATCCTGCACCTGATCCTGATCCCTTTCGCCATCCAGAATAAATCGTATCGCCTCGTAGGCGAACCACATGGGCTGATAGATGACCCCGCGACCTCGACCGCTCAGGACCTTGCCATGTTCCCTATGAAAGGAGCTGCGCAGGGATTTGATCTTCGATCTTATGGATCGTATCTCTGTTCCATATTTCTGACTTAGGAGCTTCAGGGCCTCGTATTTGGTCTGCTTGATATGATAGCCCTTGGTGTTGGGATCCCAAAGGACTCGCTGCCGGCGATAGTCCTCGATGAAGTTCAGTATTGTTGAGCGGGACCATTCAACGCGATCAGCTGGCGTTGTTGTTGTTGTCGTTGTCCCCGTTGCCGTGGCCGTTGTTGTTGCAGTGGGCGAAAGTGGGAGTGGCAGCGAGGCAACATCGGCTATCAAAGCAATGGCATTGGAGTTGGCATCGAGCTTGAACTGCGCTGCTGCTGCGCTGCTGGACATTGTTGTTGTGGTTGTTGTTGCGGTGAAAGTTTTTCCCAGCCTGCGAGGGGGGTGGTTGGTTGGTGGGTGGGTTGTGGGCGTTGGGCGGTGGGTGGTGTGTGTGTGTTGGTGATAGGAAAAGGAGTGAGAGAGAGAACGCAACGCAACGACGCGACGAAAAAAGCGTCCACAACACGTTGCTTTTGACTTTCGACTGGCGGCAGCAGCGGCGGCGGCGAGCGTTGAGCGTTCGTTCAGCTGGCCGTGTTTGTGTTGTATTTGTGGCAGCGGCAAGTGCGGCGGCGGCGGCAGCGGCAGCTCAGCTGCACTTTGTGCGAAGGAGAGAGAGATGGGGAGCGCGCGAGCGAGAGAGAGCGAAAGCGCCAACTGGTGAGCGCCGTGTCGCGACGTCCAAAATCAACGCAAAGGTGTGCGACTTTGCCGTTGCCTTTTGCCTTTGCCTCTCTCTCTCACACACACACACACCCGCTCTTCACTGTGCTCGCTGTGTGTGTGTGAGTGCTGCAGCAGGCGGGCTTTTTGTTTTTTTTTTCGCGACCTGTTGTTGCTCGCTTGATAATGCCAGGCTTTGTTGTTGCTGCCGTCGCTATCAGCTGTTTTATTGCATGTTGTTGTTGGCGCCCCAGTGTGGTGTTGCTGCTGCTCTTGTTGTTGTTGCCACTAGAGAGAGAGAGAGGGAGCACACCAACAAACACCAAGGTTGTTGTAAGTTTGGGTCTCTCTGGTTGTTGTTTTTCGTTGGTGTTATTGTTTGTTTAACTGTTTGGAGTAGTTGTTGATGTGTTTTTTATTGTTGGTGTAAGAGTTGGTGTGACTGTTGTTGTTTTTATTGCTATACTTGCTATTCTGGGTTTTTTTTTGTATCACACACCTATTGGTGTAAGTGTTGGTGTAGTCAAATGAGCTGTTGTTGTAGTTTATCTCTTTGTAATTGGTGTATCTCTCTAATTGTTGTTGTCAGAAGCTGTGTCTATTGTAATTGCTCCGTCTATAAGCTTTTCTCTGCCGTTGCATGTTTTGTTGTTTAGTGTTACCGTTTGCGTTGCTCTTTGTGTTGCAGTTGTGGCATCGGATGTTGCTGCAGCTGTAACGCTTGATGTTATCACTTGATTTGGTTGCTGCTTTAGTTACTGAGGTGACTGGTGGTGCTGCTTTTCTGGCCTAGCGATTGTTGCTGTTGTGGCTGCCACTGTTGTTGCCTGTGGCAATTGCTATTGCTGCTGCTGCTCGCTCGTGCTTTTTTTTTGTCGCCACTTCGTCGACGCTCGTTCGCCGCTCGTCGTTCGCTGTTGAAATCACGATTTGTACTAATTTCACATATTTAAACTGTGTGTGGCATGCGCGCTGCTCCAAACGGGCCGGTTGCCGTTGTTGTTGTTGCTGCTGCTGTTGGCCGTAAGTTCGTCACTTGCTCTTCGCTACCCCTCGCTCCCGCGCCTCTTGGCTCGCACACCTTTGCGTTCGCTTTGCTCGTGTCGCGACTTGCGATCGGTGCTGCTGCTGCTGCGACTGCCTGCTGCTGCTGTCGTCAACAGCCCCACGTTGCACAGTGGGCCCGATCCGATCGCTCTGCGCATGTGGCAGCGGCTGCCAAATGGCGGCGACCATGAGATGCTGGAAACCAACGGGCACACACACAGAGATCTGGCCGAAAACCTATTTTTAAATAGCCAACCAAGGCACAGTGTGGCAAAGGCAGTTCACTTGTTGCAAGTTGCGTGGAGGATGGGAAAATACATATTATAATAAATAAATATTTGATGGGGTGTACAAAGTGAAATTAAAGAAGTATTCGTATTGGAAAAGGGGTATCCTTGCTTAACATTTGTGTGTCATATTTAGGAGTTCAGACCTTTATGTGTATGCTTTTATTAAGTATTTTAAATTGCACGTTTTGAATCACCGATAGAGTAAGACTTCACCACGAGATACTTCCTAATTAGTGTGTAATGGCGTTTTAAATGAAAACCTAAAAATTTTTGTGTTTAAAGAGTAAAACTTTTTTTAAAAATTTGACTTCTTTGCTACAGAAAAATTAAGCTTTTAAAATACTTTAAAACCATTGGCGTTTTAACATTAGTTTAATGCCTTTTTTCTGCGCCCTTATAACCCATTTTTGGCCCACTGTGCTTTTGGCCGCTAAAGCTGTAAATATTGTTGCTGCCTGGTCCTCTCACTCGCCCTCTCCGTCGCCCTCTCTCTCGTACTTCTCTCATCAGCACGGTTGAGAAGTTGTTATCGTTGCCACTGTTGGCGTTGTTGTTGCTGCTGTTGGACAAAGCAAAAAATAATAATAATAACAACAACAACACCATAAAGCTCAAAAACACGGTAACAAATTTAGCGAGTCAGCAAAATAACAGAAAAAGAATCGAAAAGGAATTGCATTTCACGGAGAATTTGGAGGTTTTCGGGCTTGCCTTTTTGGTATTCTGTTTCATAATACCCTTAAGGAGGATCATTTCGGATAGACCCTCGTTTAATAATCAGATTTCTTGAAAATAGGTTTCTTTTTTCATAAAATAGTATTTGATGTAGAAGGTGCTTTTTTAATAAAGATTAAAAAAAAAATTTTTTTTTATGGAGAAAAACCCTTAGCATACTTTTATGCGTCGGTTTAAGTTATTTGAAAACTCGTTGGCTTTTAGTGGGATCAGCTATAAAAAGTTAATAAAGGTATATAAACAGAAAATCAATTTTTCAAAGAAGTTAAAGGTTCATAATACAAAAGGGTATTTATTTTTTCGATCTCCAAACGACACCATTATTTCTGCCTGTTAATCGCAAGGTGTGAGCGAGAGGGTGGAGTGAGTGAGGGAGAGGTGTGTGTGGAGTGAGCTGTCGCTCACGTAGGCAGCATTTTGTTTTTGCATTTGCCTGCACTCTCTTCGTGTTTCTTCATCTCCCCCGCACTTAGTATATGCACGTATGCATGTATCTCTTTCTTATTCTCCTTTGCATTGCGTGTCCTAAACCACGTGCGAATCTTTTGTATGATTTCGCCGAATTTCGATGCCTCATACGCACATACAAACACAAGTAGGTATGTATTTACTCACATAATTAGAGCGACTTAAGCGGACTTTTCTTATCAGTTTTGCATTTCGCCTTGCACAATCGCCCCCTCTCTTTCTCGCCCAGCTGTTTTGCATTGCGGAAGCTTTCTCGTCTTCTTCTCCTTTCTGTCTGTCTTAACGGCTCATTATCAAGCTGCGTCGCTGCCGCGGTCGACGTCGCAGTTGCGGCGACGTGTTTGCCGCACCTACGATAACGGTAATAAGCTGACATTTCCATGCACCTCGCCAGGAAACCGGTTCTACGGACAGCTTTATACCCTACACCAATTTTTTAATCAAATATATGTAAGTTTGTTGTAACTGTGGTATTTGTTAATTAATGAGAAACAAGTGCAATAATTCAAGTAAATCATTATTTTAATTGATGATTTAATTCAATTTCTCAAATAAGTCATTATATGAAATTAGAAATAGCCAACAAACATTATCTCTGTCCTTTATTTATGTGCATTGTACATATGTATGTCTATGTTGATTTTAAGGTTTTTGTGTTCTCAAACTAGATATAGAACATTATTTAATCCTTCAAAATTATATATTTTGGTTTTTCTTATTGATTTTCTCTTTTGTTTTTATATACTTTGCAATAATATACTACTTAAAATAATAAAGTTTTTAAAACTATAAACGTTTTTTTTGAAATCCTGAAACAAATGTATGCAGTTGTTCATCGTACATCCACCAGAAAGTAGTGTGATTAATCGCCATTAAGATCCACAAAAATAACTTGGCTTGCAGCGTGACTGCGGCACATTAGACCCCATCCGAAATTGGCTCGGACTGCGTCAGGGCAAACGACTCGACGTCAGCGATGTGGCGCAAAGCTTTTTGCATTCAATTCTCGCTCCAAGTTGACAAATTGACGTTCAAAGTTGTTTGCGCAGCATTTCAGTTGCAGTTTCGGTTGCGTTGCCTGTTTTTCCTCCTTTCCAGCCCGCTTTCCTTATTACGTTATGACTCTCGACGGTACGAGAATTCTCCCCATTTCGCTACCTTTAAGTGTGATTGTGCGATTGAGTGCGAATGGACGATATAGCAAAGCACTGGCGCAGAAAAGTCGTCTACAAATATCGGAAACTATATATTTTGTTATTTACTAAAATACTTAAGATTTGATTATGGAGAGATCAATATTAAAATATTTATAAACTTTCAAAATTTTGTTTAATTTTAAAAATCAGTTCTTAAAAATCATAGCAAAGTTTTCAGCAAAAACAGGAAGCAATTATTAAGGAACTAGTTAAAATTATTTTCTTTCCAAATTGGATGTACTTAATTACCAACAGCATACAAAAAACTATGACAAAGTCAAGCCCACTCTGGTGACGCTATAATTCCCAACCAGTTATAGCGCTGCTTACAGGATAACCCATTTCGATTGCTGTTCAAAAAGAGATATCACTGCTGATGATTGTAGCCAACTACTACCTCGAGTTGGCAAAAACATATCTCATTTTAAAGATTTTCTAAAAAAACAATATTTATGAGGTATTCCATTTAAGACTAAATAAGAAAAACTGGTTCAAGTACTTATACTTTAAAGTAGACAGTTGTCTTAAAGCATATTATTCTAAATGATTAGATGGGTAATTCATTTGTTTATCTCCTTTACCTTTTTATTTACAAAACATTATCGATGAAGTACAAAACACGAGCGACTACTTTCCTTCGGCACTGTGTGCTGAGAAATATATAAATTGAAATTTCTGTTCCTGCTGCTGCCAGCATTATTGTTGCTGCCAATTCAGTTTGTCATTGCCATCTAAAATGCATTGAGCTGTCACATTAGAGCAGCAACTCGATACTTCAGCCCCCAGTCCCTCGGAACCCCCTCTCATTTCCAGCCCCCCTGTCCATTAGGGGAGCTCAGCATTTTACTTACAGTCAAACACTTTTTTTATCAATCAACTTTGAAGGTGTTACTGCAGTGGATGTTGTTGATGTTGCAGCATTTGCTGCTACTGCAGCAACCGTTTGTCGTTGCGTGCACTTTGGTGGAAATTGCTGTTGACGTTGGCTATATGGAATACTTATAAGTAAAAATACATATTTTTATTCAATTTCCAACATCACGTCGGGACGTCGCCACTCCGGCATTGTCTTTTGTTATTTTTGCAATGGCCCCGGTACCACCCACAACCCCCATTTCCGCCAACCCAACGAACGGGCGGTGTTTATCTGACGATGTTTTTGCCCCCCGCTTTTTTTCAATTATGCAGCGAACAATGCTTTTCTTTCCTTTTTTCCTACTTTTCTGCAGCACCTCTCCCCCGGGGGCAACTGTTCAACTGTTTAGCCTGTCGGATTAGCCACGCAGCTGTCGCCGCGCTGGAAAAGCATTTCCCCATTTCCTCGTAGCAGAGCTAGTCGCCCTCTAAACGCAGTGAGTTCCCCAGTTAATGCCTGTACGACATGGATTTTCTGGTAAAAATATAGCAGAAACCTGTATTACAAAAAGCAGAGGTGAAAGAAATACATTACATGTTTTGTAACGAACGAATGTTTTTGGAAATGGTTCCATTAAAGAAAAGTTGTTGTAATACTAGGGATAGTAGTATCTGAAAATGAAACATGCAGGACTGTTCTCATCAAGTTATATCATCTCAACCGTTATAATATACGATAATTTATTGAATACTTTTCTATGATAGAATCACTGTAAACCCGACTAAGTGTTAACACTTTGGCAAATCGAATCTATCTTAAAGATACCAAAGTGAAAATCGGAACCGGTCTAATAATGAAGTTGCCCTAAGTAAGTAGAGGCTTAGAAGGGGAATTTGTGGGTATCCAAATAATTCGATTTTATACATTTTAAGAAGTTACGATAATAATATTTTCTAAATTATAAAATATTTATATATATCTCTAACGAAGAGAAGTGTTGTATTAAGTCTTTGGATTCTAACAATCCAATGTTATACATTAATATTTAATTAATATAAAGGCTTATAAGAGGAATTTGTAGAGCTTATGAAAATGGTATTTGGTAAAATATAAAATATTTATCTACAGATCTAAGGATGAAAAATGTTGTATTAAGTCTTTAGCTTCATAATAAAAATATATTATTAATAAAATTTAAAGATTATCTTGTCATATTTCGCAGAATTACATTAATTAGTCATATTTTAATGCGTTTTTCCCCTCTTTTTCTTCTACACAATGGACTAAATTATATTTAATAGGTTATATTTTTTCCTGTGTGCAGTTGCTTGAGTTTTGCCACTGATGCGTATCTGATGGCCAGCCTGGTCGATCCAGTCCGGACTGAGACCGAGTTGGCCAAGTTGGCCGAGTTGGCCGCGTGCTAACGGGAAGTCGACGTTGAGTGAGCGGCCAAAGGAAGTGCATTTGAATGAATGCACATCTGATAAAGCCTAATACCCATGGACAGCCCCCCCCTTCGCACTCCACAACTCACTTGAGTGGTCAGCACTTGGGATCTGTTTAATTAACTTTTTGCTTTGCGCCGATTTGCGAAGGCTGCCACCGCCAACACAAAACAAACTGAGGCGTCCGAGAGATTTGCGATTTCCATTGGCAACTTTGTTTGTTCATCGCCGATTGAGTTACGTGGTTTTTTCTTACATCCGCTGTAGTTGAATGCAGCACAACAAGTTCTTTGAAATAAACTTTCTTGGCCCGAACTAGAATAGAACTTCGGTTGCATCCTTAAAGCGGAATCAATAAAATAGCTGAGGGCATTTGAATAAATTAGTATCAATTATATATACTTAGGCAGGGAACTCAGTATACGCAAGACTGTATTAAATTACATCATCCATGTAAAGCCCGTACCCTAATTACGAAATCCTCTCAAGATCTAAGGGTCGTTGTTAGGGAAAACTCTTCCAAAGATGGTTATATGGAAGGGACCTTGTTGCAGATACTGGTCCTTCGTTCTTTCCGCGCACCACTTGCTCGGAAACTTTCGGGCATTCATTTAATTAGAATCCAAATCATTTGATAGGTACAAAGCCCTTAGTCATAGTGGCTCCTGTCCCCCGGGGGACTATGCTATTGACATTGTTCGCAAAGTTTCGCATTTGGGGGGTGGGATGGGTTCGAGTTGTTTTGTTGGCAAAAGTTTCACAATATTTTTCTGCTGAAAAGATGTTAAAGGGTTGTCCGGGTCCGGGTCGCAAAGGTACGGAATCGGATGGGATGGGATGTTATGGGATGGAAACTCGGTCCGGTGAATGATAACGGTGTATGTACAGTCGTCGACACCCTCTTTCAATTTTCGCATCAAACTTGGCTATTACCCGGGCCCCTCCCACTCGCCCGCCCGCTCATTGTTCGCTGTTTACTTTGCTACTTTAGTTCTTAGAGGAAACTTCGAAAAGGAGGAGGGATGGTCACCACCCAGGAAAAACAGCAACCACAACTTGTACACTCCCACTTCGCGTGTCCTCCCCCTAACAACTCCATGCCATTCCCATTACCAATTCCATCCCCCATCCATTGACACAACTCCATCATTAAAACTTAAATGACCTTCCTGTGAGGATGCTGCCGTCGCTGCTGCTGATGATGATGAGAATGGGGATTTCTTTTCGGGGGCGCTTCAAACTTTGACTCCTGATATCGCACTCATTCATTCGCCCATTCAATTTCCACTCTTCCGTCAGCTGCTGCTGACATTCTATTACTGTATCTTTCAGAACTATCTTCATCTGTATCTGGACACGCATTAAATGCTTTCTATTTAATGAGTTCTCGCCATTTCCTCATCTCTTTGGATTTACACAGGGAGAAATATGTCCTATCCTACAAAGCCATTTTTGGTGTTTTTAGAATAGGTATTTTTGTTTAACAGAACACCCTTTAGGATACCTATATTTTCAAGTTTTCATAAGGCAAAATTTTAAAAAGGTATTGTAATATTTCTTAAAATTGTTTTAGTACTTTCAAAAAACTATATAACAAATAAATACTGACTACCTTGAATTTTAAATGGAATATATATATATTTTATATAATATCTTTTTAATAATATGTTTTAATTTGTAATCTTTTATTATTTATTATTATTTTAGTTTATAAAAAGAATGAATAAATTCAAAGTCATTGAAAGGTTTAACAATCTATCTTTTTGTGAATTTCTCTCAGTGTATTTGCTGAATTTACATGATTCGAAGCTCCGACTGTTTAATTGCCTGGTCCAGGATGCGGACACGGATAAAGAATCGGATGGAGCGGGATCTGGGCATATGCTCGGTTGGAGATGCGTTGGCCAGATCTATCACACACGGTCTTTGAGTCATTTATCATGTGCCAGA